TAGAAATAGAAACCAGATGTTTTTTATCCTATATTTAACTTTTTTTTTCATTTTTAGGTACTGTCGTCGTATTTTCTGGTCAATGGAAGCCCTGTATGTAGAAGACGAAGGTTTAGAGCGTACAAAATGTTTGAGAAGGGCTACCGAGACTAGTCCTCTGGAGCTTTACCACTTTTTGCAGGCTTTTGTGCAAGGGACAATACAGTGCCTGTTTCATATGTGGCTTATTATGCAGGATGACTTTCAGGGATTATGATATAGGTAAATGATATAAGACAATTCTGCCTGTTATGCTTGTTTTTTGTTAGTTAATATTGATTTATTTTATTTATTTATTCTACAAGCCGTCGGTATAATAATATTATAAAAAGGGTCAAGTCAATATTTTATATTGACTTGACCCTTTTATATAATTTAATTAATTATTAGCTATTTTATTACTTATTTATTTATTATTTAATTTATTTAATATAAACTTATTTATATTTAGCTATTTTTAATTATTTTTAAATATAACCAGTTTGTTTGTTTATAAATTAAAAATTAATAAGTATTTTAATAATCTTTGCAATACTTTACAAAAAAAATTATTTTATTAATCAAATTTAAGTTATTTATATATGTGACAATGTCTATCTATTTGATGTGCGATCAAATTTGTATTTTACATACAAACAAAGCAAGGTAGAATGTTATGATAACAGAATTCTAGACGGTAGCAAAAATAGTAATTTAGTAATTTTTCTTAAACAAACTTTTTTTTAAAATAATGCAAAAACTTGAAAGAATTGTAAATATACCCAAAAATTTAAATATACTTGAAATACACATAAAAATTTGAATAAACGGTCAAGATTTTTAACAACTTTCTAAAATCTAAAATAATTACCATGAATTTGAAAGTCTCAAGAATTTTAAACAAGTACCAAGAATTTAAAAACCCTCAAAATTTTGAAAATCCATCACGAATTTGGAAAATTTAAATGTATTATAAATATGAAATGCACTCAAAAATTGAGAATTTGTGAAGAACTGAAGAATTTGTAAAGAACTCAAGAATTTATAAAGAAGTCAAGAATTTGCAAAGAACTTACGAATTTTAAGAGCACTTCAAATTTTGAAAAACTTCAAGAATTTATAAACGAACCCAAGAATTTGTAGAGAACTCAAGAATTTGTGGAAAACTCAAGAATTTGTGGAAAACTCAAGAATTTGTGGAAAACTCAAGAATTTGTGGAAAACTCAAGAATTTGTGGAAAAACTCAAGAATTTGTGGAAAACTCAAGAATTTGTGGAAAACTCAAGAATTTGTGGAAAACTCAAGAATTTGTAGAGAGCTCAAGAATTTGTAAAGAACTCAAGAATTTGAAAATAACTTACGAATTTTAAGAGCACTTCAAATTTTGAAAAATCTCAAGAATTTGTAAACAAACTCAAGAATTTGTAAACGAACTCAAGAATTTGTAAACGAACTCAAAATTTGTAAACGAACTCAAGAATTTGTAAAGAACTCAAGAATTTGTAAAGAACTCAAGAATTTGTAAAGAACTCAAGAATTTATAAAGAACTCAAGAATTTGTAAACGAACTCAAGAATTTGCCAAAAACTCAAGAAATTGTAAAAAAAGATCAAGAATTTGCCAAGAACTCAAGAACTTGTAAACGAACTCAAGAACTTGTAAACGAACTCAAGAACTTGTAAAAAAAACTCAAGAACTTGCAAAAAAAAAATCAAAAACTTGTAAAAAAAACTCAAAATTTGTAAAAACTCAATTTGTAAAAAAAAACTAAAGACTTAGTAAAAAAAAAAAACTAAAGAATCAGTAAAAAACGAGAATTTGTAAAGAGCTCAAAAATTTGTAAAAAATCTCGAGAAATTGTAAAGAACTCAAAAATTTCAAAAGCACATAAATTTTTGGAAGCCTTACAAGTTTGTAAACAACTCAAAAATTTGTAAAATTTCAAACATTTGTAAAGAACTCTAACATTTGTAAATAATAACTGATAACAGAATTCTAGATGGTGCAGTTATCGTAACATTCTTCCTTGCTTGTTTATAAGTAAAACGCTGATAGTACGACAAATAGATATTTTCACTAACAATAAACAAGCATAATATATCGTTGCCATGACAACCCTATTTTATGAGGCACAGTTGACCCTTAATCATCCCTAATAAATCTAGATTTAGATTATCATAATTGCTAAATCTTAGTCCTTAGGTATATAATGCATACAATTGCAACCCGACAACGCCAAGTGATATTTAGCTTAAGACTTGTTACAAATCATCATCAAGAATTTGCAAAGAACTCTAGAATTTGCAAAGAGCTCCGAAATTTGCAAAAACTCTAGAATTTTGCAAAAAACTCGAGATTTTGCAAAGAACTCGAGAATTTTCAAAGAACTCGAAAATTTGCAAAGAACTCGAGAATTTGCAAAGAACTCGAGAATTTGCAAAGGACTCGAGAAATTGCAAAGGACTCGAGAATTTGCAAAGAACTCGAGAATTTGCAAAGGACTCGAGAAATTGCAAAGAACCCGAGAATTTGTTAAGTACGCAAGAATTTTCAAGGAACTCACAAGTTTGTTAAAAAAAACAAGATTCTGTAAATAAAAAACAAGATTCTGTAAAAAAAAGAACCCAAGAATTTGTAAAAAAAGAACTCAAGAATTTCAGAAGCACTTAGAGTGAAAAGGTTTCACGAATTTTAAAAATGACGAAGAATATTTAAAGAAAACAAGATTTTTTAAAAAAACTCACAAATTTCAAGAGCACTTCAAATTTGAAAAACCTTCACAAATTTTCAAAAAACTCAAAAATTTGTAAAATCTCCAAGAAAGAACTTAATTTAAAGATTTTTTAAAAAAACTCGAGAATTTGGCAAACTTTTTTAACCTTTACCCTCTGTCTATTTTTCTAGTACGTCTCCAACTGGTATCAATATTCAGTTCCCTTCTGCGAATCTCGATGACATCAGCCCTTTACCAGAGATTTCACAGCCAAAAACTTGCAGGAAGACACTATCCCTGGGACAAAAAATTTCCTGGCGAAGATCTTGACGGTCAAAAAAACACGAAGAACAAAGCAACAATGTGGTTTTGCTGAGCCATCGGCAAATTCCGGAAGACGTATTTTGCCAGAAAATTTAATGACGTTGGCTGAACAGGATCAGATTTATCGGAAGACTATGAAAATTCCTGGCGAAAATTTTATGGGAAACGAGGGAAAGGATGATTGGGATCACAACAAGGTAGTAAACGAAATATAATAGTCTCTGAATTTTTTTTACTGTGCTCCAATTTGCATGAAATTTTGGAATTAGGTTCATCTTAACCTCAAGTTCGAATGTGAAAACAACTCGGGGGGTTGCGAGCCCTTAATAAATAAGTGGACATTGAGCCGTTTTATCGCTAGAAAACGTTTTTAACATCAAAGGATATAATTAAAAAATATTTTTAATACATTTACCTTGCAATAAAGTCAACCCTTCTCAATTGTGTAATTACATTTTTTCAAAAATAACGTCGGAAATCGATATAAGAACTAATTATGAGAACAAAATGTATTTTATAGTTTTTAAAAAAAAACGCAAATACTTTTCAAGTAACTGGCCACTAAAAACTCATATTTTTGGCGTTTCTCTTCGATTTTTGAAATTTCTTGAAACTTGAAATTTCTTGAAAATAATCAAAATCTTAGAGTTGTAACTTCAGTGTAGTGTTGGTTCTGAGTGTCTTTATAAAGAAGTCTTGATATGTAGGAATTGCAAAATATCTTGAGGAAATTTTTTGAGTCTCGAAACTTGTAGAATATTTGAAAAACAATGTCTTGAAATTGACAAAAAATCTTGAATATTTTATGTATAATAAAGTATCTTATGGCTAAAAGGTCCACGTGTTAATTAAATTAATATAGTTTTATATCACTATAGTAAAATGAAAGTTTAACTAGCTGTAAGTGGAATTCTGTCTTAAGGCAATTAAGGCATCGTGCCTTAAGGCAAATTGCTGGAACTTCCCGTGCCAAAAATTATTATTTTTTTAAAAACGATTAACATTTTTGAAAAAATTTTGCTTCGAAAAAATAAGATTTTTAAGAAACTATAAATTGGACAAAAAATTACTTTTTTTGAAAAAAAAAATTTTTTTTTAAAAAAAATTTTTAAACAAATTTTTTTGTAAAAATTTTTTTTTGAAAAAAATGTTATCTTCATTTTGACATATTTTGAAGATCTGAACTTTTTTCAAAGCAATCGTACTGCCTTAACTGCATAGAGACAAAATATAAAGCGCGTAAGCGCCGCGTCGCTGTCTAACGGAAAAACATTGGTACGGAACCCATAGGAATGTAAACAAAACTTATACTTATTGTTAAAATCTCAATAAAATATCTGATAATTTGATATGCATATGTCTAATGTCTAATGATTATTGTTGACCGCCAAATGTTATTTTTTTTAGTTTTTTTACTAGATCTCCGAAACCGCTAGACCTATCTTCATGAAAATTTGATCAAATCTTCATCCTGTTAATACAAGTAAAATGTTTTTTGAATTATTCCAATCGGACGCTCCGTTCTCTTAAAAACTGAGTTACCGTTTTTGGCCCTTTTTGCCCCATATCTTCGGAATGGCTAGACCTGCCTTTGACAAAAACTAATCAGCACGTCTCCTTATCAATACGAATCGAATGTTTTTTTGAATTATTCAAATTGCTTCATCCGTGTTCCCGAAATCGTCGACGAAAATTTGAATCCGAACACACACACATGGACGCACACACACACACACACACATACATCAATTTTCTCCAAGGTATGCCAACATATTCAGAAACCTCTGAAACGTGAAGATATATAAAAATTTTCATTTTCGATTTTTTTGCGATTACTTACCCTATGGAAAATTAATTATAAATAAATCAATTTATCATCTCCAGAACTTTAACAATCGTCATTTCATTTCGAATCAAATTCCAAAAAAAAAATAGTTGCCAAATTTACACAAAATTGAAAAAGTGCTCCCGCATAGTCACAGTCTAAACGCATTTGCAAATAATTCTTTGCGACATTTTCACTTATACTGTGCTCAGCTTGGCGGCATTTTCACATTTTTCAATAATTTTCACAAAATTGAAAAAGTGCTCCAGTACACAAACAGTCTAAACGCACTTGCGTAAACATTTCTACCAGAGTGGCGCTTAGACTGTGCTTAGCTTGGGTGATTTTTTGAATTTTTAGTCCAAAATTACAAAAAAAAATTTTTGAAAAAAAATTAGAAACAAAAAATTTTTTTTCCAAAATCAATTGTTTTGTTGAAAAAAGCAGAAAGTTCTTTGAATCATTTAAATCGGACGCTTAGTTCTCTCAAAAACAGCCATTTTTTTTAAATTTAGCTCGGTATCTCCGAAACCTCTGGGCCTACCTTTGCCAAAAACTAATCAGCACATCTCCCTATCAATAGGAATCGAATGTTTTTTAAACCATTCAAATCGGTTGATCCGTTCTCTCAAAAACTCGCTTTCTATTATTTGCACTCTTGCTTATCCATATCTCCGTAACGGCTGGACCTGCCTTTGCCAAAAACTAATCAGCACATCTCCCTATCGATAGGAATCGGATGTTTTTTAAACCATTCAAATCGGTTGATCCGTGCGCCCGAAAACGTGGACGAAAAAAAGCGGACATACAAAACACACACACACACACACACACACACACACACACACACACACACACATCCATTTTTTCTGAAGTATGCCAAAATGTTCAGAAACCTTCAAAACGTCGAGAAATGTAAAAATTTTTGATTTCGATTTTTGGACGATTACTATAACTTACCCTACGGGAAGTTAATAATTGCAGTAACAAGAACAACAAATATACGAGTTTAGACAAAATTATACTGTTATGTTAACTGTTTTTATTCAAGGGTAGTTTTAAGAGTTGAATAAATTATGGATATGGTAATTATTTTCGAGAAATTGCAATAACATTCATATCATTTTGAATTTTTTAATTTTCTTTCAATTTCAAAATAATAATTTCAAATAATTTTTCATCAAGGGGTTGTTTTTAAGGTAACACTTAACCCTTTTAAGAAAGGGTTAAAAATTTGATAATCAAGATAGAAAACATAAATTTTTTTATGTATTAAAAAACCGCATTTTTAGTATTAAAAAAGGAACTCTACTGACGAGCAAACTAATCTAGAATTAAAAAAGGGACTCTACTGACGAGCAAACTTGATCTAGTATTAAAAAAAGGACTCTACTGACGAGCAAACTAATCTAGAATTAAAAAAGGGACTCTACTGACGAGCAAACTTGATCTAGTATTAAAAAAGAGACTCTACTGACGAGCAAACTTATTTACGAAAAAATATGACTTTACTGACGAGAAAACTTACTTATGAAAATAAAATTGGACTCTACTGTTGAGAAAAATGATTTATAATAATAAAATAGGACTCTACAGACGAGCAAACTAATCTAGAATTAAAAAAGGGACTCTACTGACGAACAAACTTAATCTAGTATTAAAAAAGAGACTCTACTGACGAGCAAACTTATTTACGAAAAAATAGGACTTTACTGACGAGAAAACTTACTTATGAAAATAAAATTGGACTCTACTGTTGAGAAAAATGATTTACAAAAATAAAATTTGACTCTACTGACGAGCAAAATGATTTACAATTACTCTAATAATAAAATAGGACTCTACAGACGAGCAAACTAATCTAGAATTAAAAAAAGGGACTCTACTGACGAGCAAACTTATTTACGAAAAAATAGGACTTTACTGACGAGAAAAATGATTTACAAAAATTAAATTGGACTCTACTGTTGAGAAAAATGGTTTACAAAAATAAAATAGGATTCTACAGACGAGCAAACTAATCTGGAATTAAAAAAGGGACTCTACTGACGAGCAAACTAATTTGGAATTAAAAAACAGACTCTACTGACCAGCACTCTGAATTACGAAAAAAATAAGACTCTACTGACGAGCAAACTTTATTATGCAAAGTGAAAAAGAAGGACTCTACTGACGAGCAAACTTAAACTAGAATTAAAAAAAGGGACTCTACTGACGAGCAAACTAATCTAGAATTAAAAAAGGGCCTCTTATTTACTTTATACATAATTCTTACTATATCATACCGAAATTTATTCTTAAGCTTTTTTTTAATTTAGAGGATGTTTAAAGGGTCTTAGGGTTTTCACGGGGTTGAAGATGATTTTATTGCAAGGTAAATGCATTAAAAAATATTTTTTAATTATATCCTTTAATATTAAAAACGTTTAATACCGATAAAACGGCTCAAGGTCTACATATTTATTAAGGGCTCACGACCCCCCCACCCGGGAAGTGAATAAATTCAAAAATTTCATGCAAATTGGAGCACAGTAAAAAAATATCAGAGACTATACCCTTAATATTAAAAACGTTTATTAGCGATAAAACACTTCAATGTCTACCTATTTATTAAGGGCTCACGACCCTCCCACCCCGGGAAGTGAATAATATGAACATAAATTCCAAAATTTCTTGCAAATTGGAGCACAGTAAAATAAAAAACAGAGACTATACCCTTTGTATAGTCTGTATCCTTTTCTGTTTGTATCCTTTATCCCTTTGTTGAGACTATACCCTTTTTTCCCCTGCACTATTATATTTGTTATGTATCTTTTACCCCTTTTTTTCCCCCCAGGATGTCGATCTTCAACCCAGTGTCGACTACGTAACCCTTGCCGATTGTGCCACAGGTTCTGCGCCCCATGACGGTCCACCAATGACACCAGCCCCCAAAAAACCAGTAGATGACGTGCCTTATTCGGTCCTGGTGCGTTTAACAACAGTTCGCGACCAATTAAGATACAGTGCCGGAGTTATGTTCGAAGATATGCTCGGAAGACGCGATTCCTCCGACAATCCGCCTGCACCAACCAGAGCCTTGCCACCGCCTCCGAACGGCCTCAGAAGAGACGATGCTGTGTCATACATAATAAGCACCTTCGGGTGGTTTTTTTATTTAGTATCCAGATTTTTAGCACTGACCACGGCCTGGACGTTTTACCCATACGCCACCTGGATAACTTTGGCTTTAACATACATCACCAGCTACTGCATATACTTGCGTCTATCTTTAAAACTCCAGGACCTCCGTAAAGCCTACTTTGGCTTGTTTTTAAGTTATCTAAACCTTTTTGTAATGTTGGAGCTCAAATTTAAATTTACAAAACCCAGAAGATGGTTTGGTTATTATTTTTTATTAGCGACTGTTCAAAGTTGGTCAATGGTGTTTTCCTGGTATTGGTTTGCGGATTGGGATAGTTGGTGGTTCGAGTATTCGCTGGCGGTTGTTTTGGGAGGAAGTTTTTTGGCGGTTTTGTGCGCGGGGATTTATTTTGTTATTTTGAAACCGAAAGAAGAAGTTGTTGGGAGATAGATAAGTGTCAAGATTCAAAAAGCGTCGAGAATTCGAAAAGTCAACACGAAATTGTAAGTTCTGGAAAATTTTAAAAGTGCAAGGATTTTAAAAGTATTCGAAAGTTTGAAATGCGCTCAGAGAAGTAAAGAATTTGTAAAGAACTCAAGAATTAAACTTAAAATATGAAAGAAATAAAAAATATGTAAAGAAATGAAAAATTTGTAAAGAAATGAAAAATTTGTGAAGAACTCGAGAATTTATAAAGTACTCAAGAATTTGTAAAGAATTCTAGAATTTCAAAATTATTTAAAAATGTGAAAGGATTCACGAATTTGAAAAATGCTGAAGAATGTGTGAAGAAATCAAGATTTTTCAAAGAACTCACGAATTTCAAGAGCACTTCAAAAGTACACAAATTTGTGTACATTTTTTGACAAAGAAGAAGTTGTTGGAAGACAGACCTAATGATAGTGGACTATTGTGTCGTAATTAATAGTGATGTACGATAATAATCGATATTATTAACTTTTAAAGCAAAATTTTGTTGTGAAGGAATTAAGAACAAGAATTTTGTTACATTTAAGAAAGATCCAGAATGTTGCAAAAATTATATTTATGTTTTTATCATATTTGTATTTCATAGTGAATATCAACTTGCCCATAGGCAACTAGTTTTATAACATGGAATATACCTATAAGATTATTTATATAAGATTTATAAGATTAACCCTATTTTAGACTTGTTTCTTGTTAGTAAAACATTAAAAATGTCTATGTATTTGCTTTATTATCAGGCGTATTTTACATATAAACAAAGCAAGAAAGAATCTTATGCTTGTTTATATTTAAAATACGCCTGATAGCACAGCAAATAGATTTTGCCCTATTATTTAATTATAATATTTTATTGTCTATGTCTATGTCAATATTATTATAAGTATTTTTTTTATTACTGTTATTTATTAATTTGCAATATGTAATTGTTTTGATTCCTAATTAAGTAAATTTGTACAGATTTTATATCACGTTTTTTATTTCTGCAGACATTTTTTTATTTTATACTTTTGTAAGTGAAGACGTGAAAAAATTTATAAAAACGGAAAATTTTGCCATTACATGGTCAAATTTATCAATGCGCAAAATTTTTTCATCGAGTTTTTAATTATGAAGTATATTTTGAGTTGTATATATTTTGTTAAAAAAAATTAAGTAGTTAGTAGCCCAAATTAGGTTTATAAATGAACCTACATATATTTAATAAATTTTTGAGAATTTGAAAAATTCCTGAAATTTGAAACAACTGTCGAGATTTTGTAACAATTTTCTAAAATCTGAAATAAGTACCAAGAATTTGAAACAAGTGTCAAGAAATCAAAAACACTCAAGAATTTGAAAAGTACTGAAAATTCTGTAAAGTAGAAACATTTTAAAAGTATTCAAAAATTTGAAATGCACTCAAAAATTTTAGAAGCACTCAAAAATGTGAAAAGCTTCACAAATTTGAAAAATGCTGAAAAATTTGTAAAGAAATCAAGATTTTTCAAAGAACTCACGTATTTCAAAAGCATTTAAAATTTTGAAAAGCCTCACAAATTTGTAAAGTAGTCAAGAATTTGTAAATAACGCAAAAATTTCAAAAGCACTAAAAATATGAATGGCTTCACGAATTTGAAAAATGCTGAAGAATTTGTAAATAAATCAAGATTTTTTAAAGAACTCACAAATTCCAAAAGCAGTTCAACTTTTGAAATGCTTCACAAATTTGTAAAGCTCAAGAATTTGTAAAATAACTCAAGAATATTTAAAGAACTTAAAAATTTGTAAAAAATTTTAATATTTGAAAACAAACTCAAGAATTTGAAAATACATCACAAATTTGAAAAGTACTCAAGAGTTTGTTAATGATTCAAGAATTTAAAAACGCTGAAAATTTGAAAACTTTCGAAAACCTAAAAACGCTCGAGAATTTAACAACGCTCAAGAATTTAAAATCTAAAACGCTCAAGAATTTAACAATGCTCAAGAATTTAAAATATAAAACGCTCAAAATTTAACAACGATCAAGAATTTAAAACCTAAAAACGCTCAAAAATTTAAATACAATCATAATTTGCGTTCAACAATTTGAATTGTACTCAAGAATTTTAAATACAGTAAAAAGCAATTAAAATACGTTGAATAATTTAATTAGCTCTTCTAAATTAAAAAAAACTCTCAAGAATTTCAAAAAATCGTATCAAGAGTTTGATGAACTCATATGAAATTTTAAAAAAAATCATAATATAGAGATGCTTATTGTAGAGAATACAATTAGAGACAACAAGCTAACAAAAAAAATTAACTAGCTGTAAGTGAAATTCTGTCTTAAGGCAATTAAGGCATCGTGCCTTAAGGCAAATTGCTGGAACTTCCCGTGCCAAAAATTATTATTTTTTAAAAACGATTAACATTTTTGAAAAAATTTTACTTCGAAAAAATAAGATTTTTTGGAAATTTTAAATTGGACGAAAAATTACTTTTTTTTGAAAAAAAATTTTTTTTTAAAAAAAATTTTAAACAATTTTTTTTATAAAAATTTTTTCTGGAAAAAATGTTATCTTCATTTTGACATATTTTGGAAGATCTGAACTTTTTTTCAAAGCAATCGTACTTCTTTAACTGCATAGAGACAAAAAATAAAGCGCGTAAGCGCCGCGTCGCTGTCTAACGGAAAAACATTAGTACGGAACCCATAGGAATGTAAACAAAACTTATACTTATTGTTAAAATCTCAATAAAATATCTGATAATTGATATGCATATGTCTAATGTCTAATGATTATTGTTGACCGCCATATGTTATTTTTTTTTAGTTTTTTTTACTAGATCTCCGAAACCGCTAGACCTATCTTCATGAAAATTTGATCAAATCTTCATCTTGTTAATACAAGTAAAATGTTTTTTGAACTATACAAATCGGACGCTCCGTTCTCTTAAAAACTGAGTTACCGTTTTTGGCCCTTTTTGCCCCATATCTTCGGAACGGCTAGACCTGCCTTGACAAAAACTAATCAGCACGTCTCCTTATCAATACGAATCGAATGTTTTTTGAATTATTCAAATTGCTTCATCCGTGTTCCCGAAATCGTCGACGAAAATTTGTATCCGAACACACACACATGCACGCACACACACACACACACACATACATCAATTTTCTCCAAGGTATGCCAACATATTCAGAAACCTCTGAAACGTGAAGATATATAAAAATTTTCATTTTCGATTTTTTGCGATTACTTACCCTATGGAAAGTTAATTATAAATAAATCAATTTATCATCTCCAGAACATTAACAATCGTCATTTCATTTCGAATCAAATTCAAAAAAAAAAAAAGTTGCCAAATTTACACAAAATTGAAAAAGTGCTCCTGCATAGTCACAGTCTAAACGCATTTGCAAATAATTCTGTGCGACATTTTCACTTATACTGTGCTCAGATTGGCGGCATTTTCACATTTTTCAATAATTTTCACAAAATTGGAAAAGTGCTCCAGTACACAAACAGTCTAAACGCACTTGCGTAAGCATTTGTACCAGAGTGGCGCTTAGACTGTGCTTAGCCTGGGTGATTTTTTGAATTTTAGTCCAAAATTACAAAAAAAAATTTTGAAAAAAAAATTAAAACAAAAATTTTTTTTTCCAAAATCAATTATTTTGTTGAAACAAGCAGAAAGTTCTTTGAATCATTTTAATCGGACGCTTAGTTCTCTCAAAAACTGCCATTTTTTTTAAATTTAGCTCTGTATCTCCGAAACCTCTGGGCCTACCTTTGCCAAAAACTAATCAGCACATCTCCCTATTAATAGGAATCGAATGTTTTTTAAACCATTCAAATCGGTTGTTCCGTTCTCTCAAAAACTCGCTTTCAATTTTTTGCACTCTTTGCTCCATATCTCCGTAACGGCTGGACCTGCCTTTGCCAAAAACTAATCAGCACATCTCCCTATCAATAGGAATCGAATGTTTTTTAAACCATTCAAATCGGTTGATCCGTGCGCCCGAAAACGTGGACGAAAAAAAGCGGACATACAAAAACACACACACACACACACACACACACACACACATCCATTTTTTCTGAAGTATGCCAAAATGTTCAAAAACCTTCAAAACGTCGAGAAATGTAAAAATTTTTGATTTCGATTTTTGGACGATTACTATAACTTACCCTACGGGAAGTTAAAAAATTGAAGAATTTAAACAAATGCATTTAAGAAATTAAAATGCTATCAAGAATTTAGAATTTTTAATTTTCGAAGTATTTGATAGCATTAGTAGAGAAATTAAAGAAATTTAATAAACAGACAAGAATTTAAAGAATTTGAGAATTTAAAGAATTTGAGAATTTAAGAAATATTAAAGAATTTGAGAATTTAAAAAATATAAAAAACTTGTCTTCACTCATTTAAAAAAAAACTTTTAGACAAAATGAGAATTAGAGAACTTTGTTAGTCAGAAATTTCACTTCCTATTAATTTGCATCAAAATCAACATCGTAAATTACTTCTATTGATACCGGCGTACTAAATTAGAGACTATTCATGCAAACTAGCAATAACGTCACAAATATATATATATATATATATATATATATATATATATATATACATCATAAATCCTTTCATCTTCCAGTTGATTATGTTACCAACGACAGTGTATGTATATCAAACGATTTAAATTTGTTTAAGAAATGCGCAGAATAATATTTACCAGAAGGAGCAGGAGGAGCAATTCGTTTGATATTTTTCTCGTTTTGCAAATAAATCATAAGTTATGATTGATAGCTGTGTACGAGATGACGCAGGTCAAAAGAAAAATATCTTTTTCTAGAACTTTATGTTTACTGGTAAAGATACAGAAGATAAATTTGATTTGATGTACTAGAATACAAACTAGATTTTTTGTTAATTTAGGTTTCCCGAAAAACAAGTTTACGTCTTGCCAGAAAATTGGATGTGCTAATTATTTGAATAAAAAGAACTCAAGAATTTAAAAAAAGTCAAAAATTTAAAAAGCACTCAAGAATTTAAAAAAAAACTCAAGAATTTGAATGAAAAGAACTGAAAATTTTAAAAAAGCA